TTTGTAAGTTACACTCGGAAATAGGCAGTGATGGAAAATGATTAAATACATCTTTGAGAATCGTCATCGCCCGTCGCGGACGCTTTGGTCCAGTCATTGCACAAACGTCAGTAATCACAATACAATAAAATTCGGTATCGCGAGTTTCCTGGTCAGTGATCGTTCGAATGGAAAACCAATATAACCGTCTCGCGTCTCCCTTTTTCCCCCGCGTGACCGCGTTGCTCGTTCTCTGTTCTCTCTTCGTTTAGCAGCACGCAGTCTTTACGAGCTAATATTCTTACCACGATTAATAAGTCACTTACCTGTCACAAAAATAAATACTTTTATTATGTCGCTTAATCTACTCGCTTACGTATTAGAAACAATAAAGTCCCGCCTAACATGGCCAGCTGTTCTAGCGGGATTCACGATATACATATGTATTTTCTACGACTCACACTAAATTTTTTCCTCGCCTATATACTCACAGTTTGCACAATTTCTAATATTTGTCGTACTTAACACTTTACCTGCCGTAATATTCAAAAAGAGATATAGGTCCATCGTCAAGACTGTTACCCGTTACAATGCCTTAGGTCAGCGATGAGCAAACTTTTTTTTTGTAACGTGTCAAAATTTAAAACCCAATAATCCTTACGGGTCGATGCAAGCGAAACATTCGAAAACCTAATTTTTTAATTTAGAAATTGTTGATTTACTGTAGCTTTTGCTTAATTTTTTTCACTTCAGCTGATTGAAGTGGGCCGCATAAAGAGCTACAGCAGGGCGGGAGTAGTTTATCACTGTCTTAAGTAATGAAAATATATAAAGTGTTTCTAGATTTTTAATAGGACGGCTGGCACGAACTTTTACAGAACTGTCACAGTACCGTTTATATAGAAATACGTCCACGTGAATATTATCGGTAATAAAAAATATTGAATTATTGACAACTATATTTGGTAAGTTATGTCCTATTTTGCCTTCAATGGTAACCTTAGTCATATAGATGTAAGAATTCCAAATATGACGTGACGTTAACGAAGAACAATGTCAATTACCATTGATAGACGTGATGGCGAACAATTCATGGAAAACATTTTTATTTTATTGTATGTATGACGTTGCACACGAAATGGCTGACTTTTCAGTGCTGTTATTATATTAACCAGTACTTATCACGTTTCTCTAAACTTAATACTGAAGAATAAATGTAATTGTTTATGGTTTAAATATCTCGAATTAAATAGAATTCACAGGGAAACGTAATTTAACAATTTTATAGAAAAAGTTACACTTGAAAAGAATTGTATCCATCGAAATAAGTATTCACAGACTTTGTATGATTATATCGATCGAAGACCAATATACTCCTGGCTCAAAGTTTGTAATCACTCTTGGAATAAAGAGAGCTAGTGATTTTACTCAGAGTCAGTAAATGATTTCAAACTTTTGGCCGGCAATATATATTGGGTGGGGCAATAACTATGTCCACTTTGAATATTGTTGTTACTTGTAATAATATGAAAAAATATTATATACAAAACTTACACGTATAGAGGGGGGCATATTGTGACACAAACATTTTCTGCGTGGCTGAAGACAGAGGAGATTTCAAGGTCATCTCTATTTTTTTTAATGGAATGCTGTTTTTTTTATCGCGATATGATAGCCGGCGTTGAGACGACTTCAGCGAGCTATCTTCATATCGCTGCATCACGTGCATGTCTTATCGTTTCTGAACTTATTCTAGCATATGCTTTATTATTTCATAGGGGACTTTATTAGAAAATGTACCATTAGACGTTCGCCAAATGATGTGGTTACAGCACGACGGGTGTCCAGCACATTATGCTCGGAGAGTAAGAGATGCATTGAATGAACTTTACCCAAATAAATGGATAGGACGTGGAGGATTAGTTTCTTGGCCACTTTGTTCTCCAGATTTAACCCCATTAGATTATTTTCTCTGGGGAGTATTGAAAAATGCAGTTTATCAAGAAGTACCCACTACACCAGAAAATATGAAACAACGGATAATTGCAGCATGTGCTAGAATAATAGAATAATAAAAATATATATGTATATTTGTATCATTATTATATGAAATCTGATCTTTAGAAACAATTTTTCGAGTTTGCACCATTTCTAACACGGGTTCAACTGTTTCAGTGAAAAACTAAGCAGTAGTGAAACTATGGTATCCGAACGGAGTTTTATGATGTTAGCAGAAAATATTTTATCACTTAAAATTTTCATGATTAAATGTATGTTAGAAAATAGACCAAATTTTATTCTGGTTATTGTTCCATTCATTTGACATAACGTTTAAGCAATGTTATTTCTAAGAACATAATTGTATTACTCAGTGAAATCAGCCACTCCATTAGCAACAAACTAATGTGGTATGCTATAATTTTGTTCATAAGTGATTTGTGGACCTCCAAAAGACGTATGTTCAATTTTTCATAAATCCCTATTTGAAGGAATTGATATTTCCCGAATAAAATGTTCACCATATATACAATATTTTCTCTTTAAAAAGGGACAATTCTTTTTTGAAAAATGTTCATTAACAGTGGAACGAATACACACTACATCTTAACCATGTCCGTTGCTTTTGATGACAGAGAAAACATTTTAAAAGTAGAAATCTCATTTTTTAGAAGAGTGACTTGGATGCGATGAAACACTTTTCGATTACAGTGAAATATGGCGATGTAATAAATAAAGGTACAAACTGATGAACAAAATATCCTTGTTAGTATCGCAGAAGATGGAAAATACAATGAAAGTAATATTAAAAAATAAATGAGAAAAAGTAAAGTGTTCTAAGCCTCAGTGTAGCAGAGTTTCAGCCTAAACAATTCGCCAGAACAATTATTCTTGAGTAGGTACTATTTTTTCATAAATATGTATATATCGATTTAAATCTTGTTCTATTGTGTTCATCAGGGTTTAGACGTCTTAATGTCCTTCAAGGAGAGTAAACATTGTAATTAGAAAACAATGCCCGGAATAAGTGTCATCGTAAAAGATGGTTCAGCTCAGTAAACCAAACAGATGTAAATAACAACGATTGGACTCTTCGTTTGACGTACCCGTAGAAATGGCTGGTGCAGTGTTAAGTACGCCTGATTCACGTGTTATTACGTTAAAAATACTACGTAACATTAATGCTACCCGTTTTAACCAGCGACAATGGCTTAAAAAGAGCCAGTTGCGTCGAATACGTGACCTATCTCCGCTCGCTAATGTGTCATTATGCAACTGAAAGTATAACGTCAGTTTACGATAACTACGAAACCACTGGATCACGCCGGGAACTGCGTTTGTTTTTCCTCATCGCAATCGTTGATTACGCATGCAGAGCGAATTAAATTCAGGTTGCTCGTATTTGCGCGACACAAACGGAGGAAGATGCGATGTTACGTATATGTATTGATTTTCGCAATGATTGTGGTATCAAAAAATGAAAGAAGAGGGAGAGAGAGAGAGAAAGAGGGAAATGTTACTCAGTCACCATGATCAAATAAATACAACTGTCTCGGTGTTGTGTTCCGACACACCGCTCGTTTTGCAGCAATTGTAAGCCTTGTAAAAAACACGGTCATTGTAAAAAAGTAGACTACGTTATTATTGTTTACGGAAGCATTTAAGAATCCACGTTTGAATTAAGCGCGGTACGTGTACCTCATCGTCAGTACAAAAGAAGAACTCGACGCGATGCGTATAGTTACGGTCTCGTCGAGACATCGTTTTTCCACTGTAAGCAGACGAAATGATTGGAACAGAAAATCGTAGAAAGCTAAGCTCAATTATCAGTTTCATATAAATACTGTATTCGGATCTTTGTGCTTCTCGTTTCTTCCCTGAATGACAATCCTTTGGCACAAACAATGCCGTGTATCCAATTTACATCGAGCGCTCAATGGCATACTCTTGTTTTTTTTTCTTTTTAGTATTCTTAAAATACTATTTAGCTATCTCACAAAAAACCGTCTTTTTTCTGGATTTTTTTCTACTAAGACGCACTGTGCTACACGAATATCGATCTGTTTCTTACATCGAAACACCAACCATCACGTCTTAAAGTGAGTTTCATTTTAATCTCATCGTCGCTTAGGCATGGCGTATCTCTATTAGTATTTCTTCCTAAATTTGCATGTACGTTCATCGTTTGTAGCGCGCGTTCCTTAAAAACGAACTACTGGAAACAGTCCGTAACAATTTCCACTCGGTTAACTACTAACAATCACGATATATCATTCTTTTCGGCTTCTGTTTGTTTTTTTTTTTGTAAGATTTTCTTTTTTGTAAATCCTCTTCATCTAATCCTTTCACGGCTAGGCGACACGCATAAATTGATACTAACAACTAGAAATTTTCGGAAAGGATAATTTCTATTCTCACGATCATTTCATGCGACCTTTTTGCTTCTCGTGGGAACCGTCGTTTTGTCGTTTCGATGTGGAAACGCCTCGATAAAAGCGATAATTCCGCCATTGTGTGTGTGTGTGTGTGTGTGTGTGTGTCTTTTTTTCGTAACTTCCACCGTTTCAACAAGTTACAGGAAAAATGCTTGGGTCGATATCATTCGAGACGCCTCGACTACGGAAGATTCGCGTACGCTGGGAACGAATCTCCACCCCCCATCGCTCGGGATCTTCCTAAAGCTCGTTCGAGGAAATTCTCTCGCCTCCTGTTTCAAGAGTTAAGGTACAACAACACGTTGAGCGATTTATTCCCAAACCGACAAATCTCTTCAGGTCCATGGAGTGTATCGTGGTCGTGCCGAGTGTCAGAAGGCCGTATCCAGAGCTGCCATACTCGTTGAAATGTCCGGGTCCGCACGACAGGCTTCCAAAAATTCGGATAATGTCACCACTCCGTCCTTGTTCCCATCCATTTTCTGAAAATGTTAGAAATTTTTATATTTTCATGTATAAAAATTACATTGTAATTTGATTACAGAAAAATATCGATTATCTGAACTATTAGGGAGACAAATCCATTATGATAAACGATTTTTCAGGTATGTTAGAAACTTTCTATCGATACTTGGATTTTTAATAAGAACTGCATTCCTCGAAGATTTTCGGGTATGATTCTGCCGCGAGGTTCAACCATAGACATACAGTACCGGACAAATGAATTCAGACAGAGATATTTTTCGTTGCATTTGTTTTTATGGTGATGTTACTGAAGTTCTTCCCTGTGGAGTATTTACGATTATTCTGACGCAAGCTTTCATAAATGTTACACGGAGCTACCTACGTATCACAAAATATAAAATCAATTTTATCTGTATATAGCTAGACAAAAGTATTCATACGTTTCATTCGCAGCCACAAATTGTAATCTGAAACAAGAACTTCACGAGAACATTATAATTATACCTTTATTTTATCCGTTCTCGGATGGTACGAGGTAAAAATTCCTGTAATATTGAATATGGACTTACTGTATGTTTTATGTACATTGTACATTTTATTACCACTTCGATCTTACTACAAGTGTTTGAGGGTCTTGTGTCCGCAAAAAAATAATATGCAATTAACATGGATCATAGAAAACGTATAATGATATTAGAATGAAACTAAGATAAAATATGCCGAACCTGCACTATGATGCGTGAAGAAACTACATAAAATAAAATAGATAAAATTGTTAAACACATACATTCGGTGTAATATGAACCGTTTCTAACATAGAGTTGGCATTCGACATTGAAAGTTCTTTTTACAAGTTAATGTCAAGAGGGACAGCTGAAAACACAATAGGCAAGATCTTTGTCGATGGCAGTAACACGTTACAGGCAATCCGCAGGTGGTCGTCCTGCAGAAGACAAGAGACAGTTTTATAATGTCCAGACTCGCACACCCTCGGCATCGTGGCCAAGTGGCCTCGAGGCTCCGAGTGGTGTATGAGAAAAAAATACAGATGTTGCTCTAAGAATATACGAAAAGAAACGCGATCTCCAAGACACTTTCCCATGCAGTTTTTCCTTCCCAAAAAGTATTGACCATGAAAGAGTGGGGATCGACCTATTACGCCACATCGATCCTAACGAGGGAGGATCAGTTCAACAATATCAGTCGTTCTTTCCGAACGGTGCCCTTTACATTCTACGAGCAAATAGAGTTCATGTTCGGAAAACTAAGTTTTAGTTTATTTAGCGATTAGGTAGTGATTATTTAGTAGTGTCGCGTATGTCGTCGTTATAAATAGTGCAAATTAATTATTGTAGGTTTTATTAAGTATTGTAGATTTTATTAATTATTGTAGGTTTTATTAAATATTGTAGATTTTATTAATTATTGCAAGTGTAGCAGACCTTTACAGTTTCGGCGTTCCCTTGCATTTTTGCCTACCAGGCTATAACATCTGCATGGCAGAGGTGCAGGGTAGGTTTGAATTACGTCGCCGTCTTCACAAATGCTTGAAAGAGAACTTTCTCTTTTTCGGGAAAATCCTGGGAAAACGAGACATGTGTTTTCTCGTGTAAACATGGGAAGACGGTCGAAACGGACAGTTTTTGGGCTGAATATCGTCAACCGCCGAACCGTTAACAACGTCTGATACTCCATAGTTTCATTACTCTTGTGTTACTTATTTTTTATCAACTGTTTGGTTTTGTTATAGTTTCGTTATTGTTTGTGATTGTTTAGTTCTTGTTTTTGTTTGAATAAAAACTTTATTCTTGTTAGTTGGTGCACATTTATTTTAAAGACACACCCGTGGCTATCCTAAAGCAAGTTTTATTAAATATTGTAGATTTTATTCATTACTGCAGGTTTTATTAAATATTGTAGGTTTTATTAACTATAGCGTGTTAAAAATTAGTATAAATAGTTGTTATAAATCAATTACTGTAGGGTAAACATTAGTTATATTTTTCGCGGTCGGGACAATCGCGCAGTGTGTATGGACATTTTTCGCGGACTTCTGTGGTGTACGTGCATGTGCGGATTAATTTCATGGATAGACGTGGACAGGACAATTGTGATACGTGACAACTAGAGGTGGCATTAACCCTCTCTACTCGATAATATTCGTAAGAAAATATTTACATTTCTTGCGAATTTTATCGAGTAATCAGAGTTAATGCGATACAGGTTGATTTAACTCAAATACCGCGGGCACAAGTTATCGACATCTTTTACGGGGTAAGTAAACAGCTGTTCTACCGACTTTTCCACCTGTGCACTAGTGAAAAATTATTGATATTTAATGTTCCTTAACTTTGTTCATATTCGTCAGAATTTGTTTAAATGAAAGGGAAATTAAAACTTGAACCTTCTACTTTTTGACCATTTCGTTCGAATGCATTTATCTCGGTGCCCAAGACGTAAAATCTTCCCTTATAAAGAGGGCTTTCAAATTGTAAAAGTTTGTTCATATTTGAGAACGGATAATCCTCATAGACAACAGTGTTCGGAGTTTTTCATGTTTCAGAAATGACTATAACTTCGTTAAAAAACATCCGTTTTGGATACAGTTTAGCTTGTTATGAAGGCAAAGGAGTGTATGATAGGCGTACATCGTATGGTTGATCTGATGATGAGGTAATTAAGGTGTGGATGATAGATTGATGAAGAACAGATATATCATAAGCAAGAAATACTGTCTGATGAAGAATCTTGCAAAGCATTTTCTGACGAAAATTAATTCTATTATATATTGTAAATAAAAAATATTCTTAAAATATATATTATTTTATATATTATATACCATAAATCAGAATGTTTATGATCGTAGATATAATCGACCCGCGTGCATACATCGCTGTCAGTTGATTGTGAACCTATTGTAAATTTTGTCTGTCAATTCCTGACGGTTGAAGTTTCTAGTATGTTATTAACTTTATTAGGACTAGGGTTCGTTGGTGACCTTCTATTACATGTACATATTATACCATATATGTATACATATCTTACCGTACACAAAACATTCGAAAAATATAGATTTCCTTTAAAGGGCTGTATCTTTGTTAAACAACATAGTTCTTCGATGAGGTTTACTTTATTTGAAAGACAAACGATCATACTTTCCGGTGGTATATATTAAAATTGCAAAAAAATTTTGTTTAGACTCCGTAGCACTTGACGAACATCAAGGAAAAGCACACTTATATTTAAAGACGTATTTTACCCTCTAGACAATCAAAATTTAAAATGGTTGTTGTTTCATCAACTTTGGGTGCATAGTAATACAGTTATGAGATTTTGAAGATTGAGTAAATTTTAAAATAGTCGTGACAAGCGTTTTAGGTCAAATATCCCACTGTGCGTCGTCCCGACGATTGTCTTTTTCTTTCGTTCCACTCCAGCCACACCACACGCATTCACACACTCATCGTAAGCAGTTCGATCGCACTACGTTTTCATTCCGTCATATAATAATGACATAATGTTATACATGAACGAAAAGTTTTTAGTATCAGTATAGTATGTGCCTATGCATTATGAGCCTCAAGTGAGATGAATTATTTTGGGCAAAATCCACAAGAGGAATAGCATTCGTTCTCTCGAATTGCTTGGTATTGCTCTCGAATGTTATACATATGTGTCTGCACAAATCTTTATTGTTGTTGGATAATTGCTACAACAATTCTCACTCGAAACCGATCCTCTCATTTTCTATAGTCTCCTGTCATTTTTCTAATAAAAGTTAAATTCCCTGCCAACGAAATCAAATAAAACTACAACACGATTTTAAGCCAATACAATAGCGATGACACATTCGCCAATGACAATAGCAGACACTATGTTAGACACTATTCTTTCCTGATACATATAGATATACTTCATGTTACGTCTCATTACATTGAAAACTATAAAATATTTGTTAAAAATACTCCTTTGCTTAGTCAATAACTTTTAAGGTATTGCCAATGAAAAACATTTTAGGATTAATTCTATCCATGAAAATGTACTTATCATGATTAAAAGACGTGTATTTATTGTTTTCATTTGCGCTGTAAATCTGTAGCAGTTAATCAGAATTGACTTGGAGTCCATTATAGGTGCTTCTTCTAACTATGCATATAAATATTGTAAGCTTCATAAGATATTCTATACACTTGTCATACCACTTTTCCTGTGTACCTACTTTCTTTTGCAGACTGTTTGACTTACAATTAGTACACAGCAGGGAAACGAAGACATAGTTCTATGACACTCGTTATGGAAATAGTGGAAGAAGGAGCTCAATAAAAGGTCGTTTACGTCACGAAAAAGTTGTTTCCACTGTTATGACGTCTTCCTTACACTTTTTGTAGGTATGTTTGTCCTACATTGATTAATCAGTCACTTTCGTAATGTGATCCACAGAATTTCAAGCTCACATTGTGCAGGATTATTATACTATTAAATTAATACAGTAAAATTAAAGAGGTAGATGATCCTTTTTTACTCATTGTAGTCGACACATTTTAGGCGGTTCTTATCAAGTTGCATGTATTCATATTTCTATATTGTCATCATATAACTATATTGTTATCATATTTCTACGGATGTTATCAACCTACAATTGTGTACCATATTGTCTTCAACTAAACCATCATACCAGCATATTTAGTGACTTTTTTATGACTGATAAAGCGACATTTCAAGCTGCACGAAGTGTGTTAATTTTGAGCAGCGATAAGATCAATAATTAATGTCCACAAAATTGTTCTACAGTCTGGAAAAATTATAAAAATTCATTCAAAGCAGAAATGATTTGTCCTCATTGATTTTCGTAAATTTTATTGCATGCACGTTTTTGTATTGTAAATTTTACTTTCGAATTATGTGTCAATTACTAAAATAAGAAAATAAAAAATGGGAGTCCGATTTTGTGAAGGAGAACATTTATGTAACAAGGATGATAAGAGAAAATGTATATAATTCCTGAGAATCTTAATTT